TTAGAATCGTTATTGTTTTCAATCGCCGGTTACGTCACGTGTAATACGTTACGTTTGTTGCAGGTACGGAATTATTGTTATACGTTTATAATGATTGATAGCGTATAGAAATATATACTGGGTGACTTTGAAGTTGAGTCATTAATTTTCAGATAATGATTGTAGAAGGAAGATAAACCAAAATATGTGTGTAAAAATAAACAAAAATTAAAAAAAATTTTACCTTGTTTTATAAAGTAGCCTCCCGACAAGTATTTCAGTGCGGACCTGTATTTGATCGTGAGGTCTTGGAGCACCGGCATGCCGTCCATATGTGAGGTCTTAAGTCAAATGATTCACGAACCCGTTGTACTACATTAACAAAGGCACGAGGGGTTGGTTGCACTCGATTGGGAAACCGATCCGCATAAACATGTGCCATTTTTTATTTCGTTTGAGCCACGCAACAGACACCACTATCCACTACCGACTGACACTGACTGTATACAACTGAATGAAATAATTGTAAAAACATCGTTCCAAATTCTTTCGCTTTTTTGTTTCCGATGCGATGAACCGATAAGGCGAATTATATCCGTTGTCGCCAAACACGAGCACATAATATTATTATTGAGACAGGGCGGTACTCAAACTTCCAAAGGGCTATAACTTTGTTACTTTAATTTTACCAGAAAAATGGTAAAGGAAAAAAACATTTCTTTTGATCAGATCTACTCACTGTTAAAATAAATGACTCAACTTCGAAGTCACCCTGTATATTAGCAATATTTGGATATTTCGAATACGTATGGTGTTTCTGAAGTCACTTGAAATAGCATAAAAACCTTTGGTCGGCGCGTCCTTTGTAATTTCATGACGTATTATAGGCGTGCGGTCATTTATTTAGAACGATAATAATAATGTTTTTATAACCCTGTATAAACGTATTCCGATATTACGTGATCGTTACAAATTAGTCAATTATGTAAAATTGTTGGGGCATGGAAGATGTCGATTGATTTTAAAATCTGTAGCTATATGCCTATCAGCATATAAAGAAATGGAGATATTTGAGCAATAATTTATAAGATTTTGGAAAATTTCAAAATTTCTTCAAAGAACTTTTTTGTCTTTCACCACTTCTCCTCCATTAGAACGATTTAAAAAAAAATCTGGGTAGTTATTTCAGAGCTTTTGCGGAAAAAACGTCAACAGATGGACAAAACGACTCGTACTGGTTCAAAAGTCCTAAGACTTTGCTAAAACTGGAAAGATTCTATAAATTCCACCATAAAAAGCTCACTTATGTGTCGCTGATATGATATCCATTTTTCTAAAGTCAAAATGGCGGATCCAAAACGGCCGAAGTGCTCACAAAAAATGTTTGGACTACGCTCAAGTTCGAGTTTTGGATATTTTTGGGTGTCTAGTAACGAATTAGATATCGATATTTTCGAAATCAAAATGGCGGATAAAAAATGGCCGACATGTTTGCCAAAAATGTTTGGGTTACGTTCAAATTTGAATTTGTATGTTTTTGAAGTGGTTGGTGATGCATTAATTCTCAATTTTTTCGAAATCAAAATGGCGAATACAAAATGGTGGACAAAGAAAATGTTCGGATTACATTCAAATTAGAGTTTTTTATATACTAAGTGACATATAAATCCGAACACCCAGTTTAAGTGGTTTATTTTAATAAAAGTTGGTGAATGTATTTATCTTACTGTAAATAACAAGTGAAAAAATTTTCAGCCTTATCAGTTGGACATTCCGGTTTTTATACTGCTTTTTTTTAATTCACTAACGCTCTAAAAATGAATATTTCAGCCGCAATAAAGAATCAACGTTGGCGGATTTTGGTTCTTAACATCCTTTACGATCGGTTGCGATGCCTAGAGTACGGAGACCTGTACGATTTCGTCAACTTAGTGAGTTTGATAGGGGCCGTATAGTGGGACTTCGGGAAGCTGGACTTTCTTTTCGGGCAATTGCAGTTAGAGTGCAAAGAAGTGTAGACACTGTGGTTAGGTGTTGTCAGGGATGGCTTCGAGAAGGCCGTACGCAAAGAGCAAGGGGCACTGGACGCCGCCGTAGAACAACAGACCGTGAAGATCGCCGCCTAAGATTATTGGCCTTAAGGGACCGTTTCTCCACTACCAGGTCCATTGCAAATGAATGGTTTGCAGGACACGGAAGACCTATTGGCATGCGAAGTGTTTACCGACGAATGAGAAGTTTTGGCTTGTTTTCATACCGGCCACACTGGGTCCTCCCTTTAACTCGAGAACACCGACGTAATCGCCTTGAGTGGTGCAGACAACGGTCACTCTGGGATCAGGAATGGAACAGTGTTGTCTTTAGTGACGAGTCTCGTTTTTGTTTAGGCATGCACGATGGTCGTGCCAGGGTTAGAAGGCGACGTGGTGAAAGGAGGAATCCACAGTTTTTTGTTGAAAGACCTGTTCATCACACTGTTGGAGTTATGGTTTGGGGTGCTATAGCTTATGGTTCCAGGTCACCTTTAATCTTCATCAGAGGTAACATGAACGCGCAGCGTTATATCCACGAAGTTCTAGAACCCCATGTTTTACTCTATCTTGACACCCTGGCAAATCCAACTTTCCAACAAGATAATGCCCGACCACATGTTGCAAGAGTCACAATAGACTTCTTTCAACATAATGATGTCACATTGTTACCATGGCCACCAAGATCTCCCGACTTATCCCCAATTGAGCACGTGTGGGATATGATGGGTAGAAGATTGCTCAATTTGCAACGTCCTCCTCAGACTCTAGAAGCACTTCGAGAGGAGTTGGTGGTTGCCTGGAATGAGATACCACAGGAGGACATTGACCACCTGATCAGAAGCATGCTTAGGCGCGTTGGAGAATGCGTAGTACATCAGGGTGCATCCACATTAAAGCAGTGCAATCATTTTGAAATTTTTATCATTTACTTATTATGCTTCATTAAGTACTTATACAAAATTTTATTAAAATACAACCATTCAAACTGGGTGTTCGGATTTATATGTCACTTAGTATATTATCGAGGTAGCTAGTATCGAATTGAATATCGATTTTTTCAAAATCCGAACGGCGGTCCAGTATGGCATGACAAGTTTTGATAATTTGAGTTTTGTATGTTTTAAGGGTCGCTGATAACGAATTTTGTATCGATTCTCCAGAAATCAAAATGGCGGATCCAATTTGGTGGGCGTTGAATGAGCAAAAAATGTTTTAATTGCTCGCTACTTTCAGTTCTATATGTTTCAGTAGCACGCCTATGCAAATGAGTTCTGTAGAGTGTGTAGTCCAGTGGTGTTTTGTTATCTGAGCAGGATATCCTAAATGGTCGTTTTCCCACTGGTTGCCATCGACTGCCCATGCGAAAGGTGCAACGCGGCCGGCGCTTATCTGATTCTATCAACCCTCTTTGCGTGGAAGGACAGTTGCCGCTGGGCTTTGCGTTTATAAAGGGAAAGTGAGAATTAGTACATTGCACAGTGACGTTCCGCAGGTGAATCGGGTGCATACTAAGGCAAAGTCTAATGGTATGCTATTTTGTATCGATATAAGTTCGAATCTGTACGGAAAACGAATCGATTTAACGCCTCTTGTAAACGGCGGTGCGCGCAGCCCGCCGCACCCGATCCCTTATGGCTGAAAACTGTGCTGGTAAAGTTGCGAGAGTGTAGCTTCCGAGTTACCAATACCGTGGTGATGACCTGCTTTAATGAATACTTCGCAGACAATACGAGACGACAAAAGCATTCCCGTGTAGCGCTATTTAATGTTCTGGATCGTCCCATTTTGGCATCAGCGTAGTGTTTTCCCGTTTTCCTCGTTAATGGCCGTGGATCCAGCCGCGCATTTCCATAATCCGGCGATAACTAGAAGCGGCGTCGCGACGATATAAAAGCCGAAAGCTCGCCTACGCGGATTTATTGCGACAAACAGGAAAACAACGCTAACTGCATTCATACAAAACTAATAGCACAGAACGACCGACGAATTATATTATTATACAGAGGGGAATCGCTGCCGGTTACCACTTTTACAGGGATCCGTTCGAAAATGCTTACGTCAGAAGTGGGATAGAAACATCGCTGGCTCACTAACGGAACATCAGAAGTGGTATAGATCGACATTAACTTGGAATTGCAGTTATCAGTTTGTCGACCGTAAGTGTATTTTTTATATATACCGAAGGAGCCGTGTAAGTAGAAGCTTAAATACCGGGTCACCGCGGCTCCTATAAGCAGCTTAAAGACACTTTGTTAATTCTCAGGCAGTTTGTCCCACAATCACCATACACCAGCGATAGAGGAGCGGTCATATTATATCAGAAGTGGGATAGAAATATCACTAGAATCACTAAATAAACATCAGAATAGGTACAGATAGACATAAACTCGGGTTGCTGGGTGGATGTTGATTTGACAGCAATGTATTTTGCTTAAAATATACCTATCCAGGGAAAACATAAACCGTCATTGTGATAGGGATTTATTTCGAACGCATCGACGCCTATCCTAATGGGACTTTAACTAACTGACCATCCCCTGACTTGAATGCTAGTTTCGTCCCTTCGATTTTCTTACATCAGAAGTGGGATAGAAATATCGCTAACCAAGCCGTCAATGAAATATACCTATATAATTATCAAAGGTACGACCGCTATTCATATGCATCTAAAATGACCCATCCTCGTATGTATAATCTACACAATAGGAAAGATAAGGACGCCAGCGGCGGCAGCAAATCTCCACTAACCGTCCCACTTTATCCCGCATATCCAAGCCAATGAACAAACCTGAACGCTGATAAAACTGTTTCGGTAAACACTCAATCTAATGAAATCTCGGGCGGCCTGGACCGGCCCATAAAACAAACAAAAGACGACGCGCGCTACCTCCTCGAGCTCCTATTCGCCGGCCAATTACCTCTGCTCGACGCGGATTGGTCGCGCTTTGACGGCGGGGCGGCCGGCGAGTGGTGGGGCGCGAAACATGGCTGAGGCAGCCGCGACCGCCGATCAGTCGACGTTCAGACGGTGTGACGCGAGGATCAGTTCTAGGGACTGCTTTATCGCGTTAACAGCACAGTGCGACGGTAAATGTGTCCGTGTCGTTTAGTGATATGACTGTTCATACGGAAGGCAGCGTCATGCCCCAAACAGCGGCCACGAGGTCTAGGTTCATGATCACGGACATCTTGAACGGACCATCTGTGGACGGACACCATGGTCATCACCAGAGCATCATCAGGGACCGGTCGCCCAGTCCAGTGCCCAGAGACTTGTCGTTGCATTCGAACCCGATTCACGACAGTGACACTGACAGTTCGGGACATCCAGATACGTCGAGTGTCTGTTCTAGTGGTGAGTCGATTTTTTCGAAAATATCAGGTTTCAAGCTGAAATTTAGCAGATACAACAAAATCCTTTTAGCCCTACTATCATATACAGGGTGACTTCGAAGTTGAGTCATTTATTTTAACAGTGAGTAGATCTGATCAAAAGAAATGTTTTTTTCTTTTACCATTTTTTTGGTAAAATTAAAGTAACAAAGTTATAGCCCTTTGGAAGTTTGAGTACCGCCCTGTCTCAATAATAATATTATGTGCTCGTGTTTGGCGACAACGGATATAATTCGCCTTATCGGTTCATCGCATCGGAAACAAAAAAGCGAAAGAATTTGGAACGATGTTTTTACAATTATTTCATTCAGTTGTATACAGTCAGTGTCAGTCGGTAGTGGATAGTGGTGTCTGTTGCGTGGCTCAAACGAAATAAAAAATGGCACATGTTTATGCGGATCGGTTTCCCAATCGAGTGCAACCAACTCCTCGTGCCTTTGTTAATGTAGTACAACGGGCTCGTGAATCAGGTGACTTAAGACCTCACAGGGGAGGGCATGCCGGTGCTCCAAGACCGCACGATCAAATACAGGTCCGCACTGAAATACTTGTCGGGAGGATACTTTATAAAACAAGGTAAAATTTTTTTTTATTTTTACACACATATTTTGGTTTATCTTCCTTCTACAATCATTATCTGAAAATTAATGACTCAACTTCAAAGTCACCCTGTATGTGTAGTATTTTTTTTCAATTTCCAATTGTGCAAAAAATCAAAGACGAGTAACCAAATTTTGCAAATAGGTATAGGTACGCATTCAATAAGAAGCAACAAAATCAAAGAAAATCATGCAGCAGCAATGATAAACCTTCAAAAAATCACCATGCCAGTCCAAAGTCCGAAAAAAATATTTTTTTCGAAATTCGTATATTGACAGTACGACGCTACTTTTTCACGAGAAATGGTCAAACGTTGTAACTTTTTATCTATTTCAAACTAAACTAAACAGGTCAAAATCTTGAATAAGACCACTCTTTATCCCCTAGTTAGTAAATATCATACAACAAAAACTGGTGACATAAATTTTGGATATAACTTAATATATATATAATCTTCTTGATTCGGTATTTTATTGTTTTTTACACTCTGAATGGCAATTTTCAATTCATACAATTCCCATGCCTCAATCTCCCTTATAATCGACATCTATTATTCCTTACAACCTCAAAATCCCATACTAAACCCATAATTGATAAATTAACTTGGCACAAAGCATCTCCGAAGGTGTAACCACGAGAAAATTGGCGATCATTAGATATGTGATTGTCTGTATGTTACAAAGGCAAGAACGAGGCATTTGACGTCGATAACGAGGATGATTGAAGATATAATTGCGACGGAGAATGGCGTAGCAAAATCCCAATTGAAGCCAATGATATGCGCGGATATCGGTCGTACATGCGCTATTACCAATATTACCAGTCCATACTGCAATTAGAGATTGTTAGCGACCGTGCAAGCAATTATTGGACGTACAATGGACAAAGGAGAATATATACAGGGTGACTTCGAAGTTGAGTCATTTATTTTAACAGTGAGTAGATCTGATCAAAAGAAATGTTTTTTTCCTTTACCATTTTTCTGGTAAAATTAAAGTAACAAAGTTATAGCCCTTTGGGAGTTTGAGTACCGCCCTGTCTCAATAATAATATTATGTGCTCGTGTTTGGCGACAACGGATATAATTCGCCTTATCGGTTCATCGCATCGGAAACAAAAAAGCGAAAGAATTTGGAACGATGTTTTTACAATTATTTCATTCAGTTGTATACAGTCAGTGTCAGTCGGTAGTGGATAGTGGTGTCTGTTGCGTAGCTCAAACGAAATAAAAAATGGCACATGTTTATGCGGATCGGTTTCCCAATCGAGTACAACCAACCCCTCGTGCCTTTGTTAATGTAGTACAACGGGTTCGTGAATCATTTGACTTAAGACCTCACATATGGACGGCATGCCGGTGCCCCAAGACCTCACGATCAAATACAGGTCCGCACTGAAATACTTGTCGGGAGGATACTTTATAAAACAAGGTAAACATTTTTTTTATTTTTTTTTTATTTTTACACACATATTTTGGTTTATCTTCCTTCTACAATCATTATCTGAGAATTAATGACTCAACTTCAAAGTCACCCTGTATAGATAGGTTATTTGTCAATGAATAGCCCCATTATGTATCTTCAGAATATGCTGCTGATAAACATTTCATCTTGCCTATATTCTCAAACTGTGAACAAAGTTCACGTGAAAGTTTGTGAGTTGACGTCATTCATGCGTGTGTGCAGATCACCTTTCCGCTTTACATAAACAAAAGCGCATCGTATCACGTTAAACCGTAATAAATCTAGTGTGCGCCGTTTCCTCGGTGATGGTTTTACATAACTGGCCGTAGCGTGATGAGAAACAACAAAGTAGAGGAAGTACCGATTCAGCTATCGCGCTCCCGTTTGCCGCATCCACCTCTTTAACATAACCATCATATTCAGCGTCGGTATACACTCGTAAAATCGCATTTCACGCTACGCGATTCACACATTCAACGGTCTCTTCATAATATGTGCGTTTTAGTTATCTTTGTCTAATCTTAACTAGGCTTCGTTCGCTCTTTCATGCAGAAATGACTCATACAAAAATGCAGTACGATCATGTATTGTTTTTGCAGAAACGTAATTATACGCATTCACATATAAGTTGAATTGCAGTAGTCCCAATGCAGATCCCTGAGGGACACCATGAATAAAAGACCGTCACTACGAGACTTGAGATAACAAATAAACGTTCTCGAAAGCTATTTATTGCAATATGGTCAGGTATTGGATAAATCGGCTAATTTGTAATGTCCATCTGGGCTATTAATCAAGGTTATCTCGTGTTCGAGGACAGACCAGTCAAACGACGTCGTGTAGAATGAGTCTTAACCGGGCTCATTTTACATTCATTCGTTATCAGAACACATCGAATGATGGATGACGCAGATAACAACGACATTTACCTTTCGGTTTTTATTATTTAATTACTTTTACCTTCACGAGAATCAACCATGAGAGAAAAAGACATGGTACGTTTATATTTATTTTTTAATGTGTGCATCTTGGACGATTAGGCCTTGCCTCATGACCTCATTCAGGGTAAGGAGGAAGCATAGTCTACTTATATATTATTTTTAAGTTATATCAAGGATTTAAGTCGTATAAACAAATACGTAACTTAATTTTGTTTGGCGATGATACAACGTACACTGAGTGACAAGAAAAGGTAAAGGTATGTTTATTCCATATCGATTTATTTTGCCATGAGGAACAAGTGATAAAATGGTCAGGTTTTTTGTTAAGTTTTTGTGGTGGCTGTCACTTAAATGTTAAATTTCGTGCAGCTAATTGCACAGAATGCCCAGAGTGCGTAGATTTCGCTGAGTGACTTTGAGAGGGGGCCAACAGATCCTTACACAGTATATATACTGCAGTTTGAACGAGCGTGTACACTCAGGAACGCCGAGGACAGCGAGCGACGGGTTCTGGACGTCCTAGAGGACCACAGAACGACAAGACCGCCGGTTAAGTCCTCTGACTGTGAGAGAAAGATTTAGTGGTATTCCATCGCTAATCAGTGGCATTGGTTGATGGTTGGTATGCGTACGTATATCGCCGAATACGACAGTTTGGCCTTTTTCTTATCGCCCACATTTTGGTGCTACAGCAAGCGGTCATTAATCTTATCGAACCGGCAATCGATCGCAAACGGTAACAGTGGTTAGTATGTTGCTTTGTTTTCGTTCGCGTACGTCGTCGTATTTATTTTTACAATGTTCTCGAATCAAGAGTTCGCCGTTTGAACGAGCGTGTACACTCAGGAAGGCCGAGGACAGCGAGCGACGGGTTCTGGACGTCCCAGAGGACCACAGAACGACAAGACCGCCGGTTAAGACTTCTGGCTGTAACAGAACGATCTAGTGGTATTCCATCGCTAATCAGTCGCTTGAAGAACATTGGGATGGTTGGTATGCGTACGGTATATCGCCGAATACGGCAGTTTGGCCTTTTTTCTTATCGCCCACATTGGGTGCTACAGCGCGCGGTCATTACTCTTATCGAACCGGCAATCGATCGCAAACGGTAACAGTGGTTAGTATGTTGTTTTGTTTTTGTTCGCGTACGTGGTGGTGTTGATTTTTACAATGTTCTCGAATCAAGAGTTCGCCGTTTGAACGAGCGTGTACACTCGGGAAGGCCGAGGACAGCGAGCGACGGGTTCTGGACGTCCCAGAGGACCACAGAACGACAAGACCGCCGGTTAAGACTTCTGGCTGAAAGAGAACGATCTAGTGGTATTCCATCGCTAATCAGTCGCTTGAAGAACATTTGTTGATGGTTGGTATGCGTACGGTATATCGCCGAATACGACAGTTTGGCCTTTTTTCTTATCGCCCGCATTGGGTGCTACAGCGCGCGGTCATCACTCTTATCGAACCGGCAATCGATCGCAAACGGTAACACAGGTTAGTGTGTTGTTTTGTTTTGTTCGCGTACGTCGTCGTGTTTATTTTTACAATGTTCTCGAATCAAGAGTTCGCCGAAATTCGCCGACGGTGAAGCTCGTCAGACTTCATATCTTGCAGCTGTTCTTCTGTTAAGTGTGCGCTTAGCACCAATAAATTATTATTATGAAACTGCATAGAACCACTACGAGGAACAGATTCTTAGCATTTAATATTTCAATTGTCTTTAGATTCGAAAATAATCTATTTTTCTCAGTGGACATTCAAATACCTTATATTCACCTATATGCGAGTACATCGATCCTAATTTAAGCACTATTCTGTTGATGTGCTTGCAAAGACTAGATCGAAATCAGATATTCAAATTACACATCGCTCTCAAGCCATTCCAACTGCGTGCGCTCTTTTTCCACAAAACCAAAACAATTTTCGTGCGATTGAAGCTCGAAAGGTTACCCGAGAAGCAG